AATTGTACACAGCAGGTGGATGAGTGAAAACTACCACAAGTGCTCTAAAGCTCCTGATAAACAAATAAGTCTTCCAATTGCAGATCTAACATCTGTGGTTTGTTAAGCTCAGTTAAACTGTACAACATAGGTTACTCTAAAGGAAGAGTGCGACGCTACAACACAATTCTCATTCAGAGAAAACACTGAACAATTAAATTGAGCAAATAGCTGTGTTAATAATGGATACAAGTCTGAGCGTAGATTGGATGAGCTGCCTTGTCATCTTGATGGCATATAGCATGACAACCTGCTAAGCCCCAGTGCAGTAGCACAATTCTCACTGGATTACTGCTACAATGCAAGTATTCTGCGAAGAGGAGACTTGCACACCTCATGCAAACACACATACACAGACAAACATGCAAAACACATACATGGACCTTGTTTTCCTTTTTGGGTGTCCATGTGTGTTGTGTGCATTCCTACTGTGAGGTTATGTTGGCCGGCTCAAGTGGCCCAAAACTCTGGCCCAGTGTGAATAGCACAAATCACATCTTTTGCAATTCGATTTTGGGGCCACTAAGAATGTGTTGTCTTGTCTATGCATGACACGTTGATGGGAAAATGGGCAGAATCTTATCAAGAGACTTAAATATGATGATTTAGACTATGCAGCAGCAGTGACCGGTTTGCTGACAAACCAAAACAAGTACAAAGCAGATGAGGGAAGGAAAGCGAGAGGGAGAAGAGCAGCAGAAAAATAAAATGGCTGCCCGGACAACCATCATGCAATTTTCTGTCCCTAAGAATTTTTCCAAAGAAATGATGGCCAAGACTTTTGTTATTCCGCCCACTCACCTTCCAACCCTTAGTCCTCCCTTCCTTTCTCTCCCTGCCCTCCAATCCCTCCTTCCTCTTGGCAAGAACCTGGGGCCCACCTCTTCCTCGGTGCAGTGTCCAGGCGTGTTAGAAGCAGCTGTTGTTGCTCCTAGGCCAGTGGGAATGGAGTCTCCTCCAAACACACATGCTGCCCCTCGAGAGGCAATAATGGCAAAGGACACTATGAACCATGCATTTCTCACACACTCAGCCAACAGAGAGGTCAACAAGGTGGCAGAGGGTCTTGTGTTGTATCTGTAGTATTAAAGGTAACACAGTCCCTGTATGAGTGCTGGATATTCAGATGGATGAAGGGACATGATGCCACATCCTCTTTCTTCTCACGATCCGGTCTGCTGCAGGCTTTCATGACAAATAAAAGCTCCCTCAACCCATTCTTTATGCTATTACAGAGCACAGACACACACACATTTACAGATTTCCTCCTAGACATTAAAGTCTGTGATGTTGCACAGATCTCTCAACATCTATTTGTCTCCCACGTTTGTTTTGCCCTGTTCTTGTTTGTCACTGTCACCGTTTGCTGACTATAATAAAGCTTTTTACCAATTAAATCACATTTGTCTTTTACTGGTAGAGAACATATGTCATTTAGAGTTGAATGTTGTTGTGATGGGAGAAGCAGGGCGGTGGGCCATCATGTATCCTTGATGGGAGCGACATCTCTCTCATGCTGAAAAGCAAACCTCTGAACTATTTGCCTCTTCTAACCCTTTACATCATCTTTCACCCCTTTCCACCCTCGGTTTTTCTGCCTTGCTTGTTCTCTTTCCTTCTTTTGGGGATTTAGTCATGAGCCAGCTCATGAAACACAGCTTATCTGCTAACATTATCTCATTATGACAACAACATCACATTCCATTATCCTCCTGCCTCTCTTGGTTTTCAGTTTTGATGTGCCTTAGGTTGTTTCATGCTTTTGGGGACTTAACTATTTCAATAAGCCTCTTTTTCCCCCCCTCAAATCTCTACTGCCTCTACTGTTCTGTTTTATAATTACGATCATGTCATTTCTCTCACCTAATGCTACGCTAAAATGCTTCACATATCCATATTATATAATAATAAGCATTAGAGTAATATGTAAATATTTTCATGACACAATATTTTCACACCATGTGATAACAGTGTTCATCACAGTCTGATGTATTCTTTAAAAAGTTTGTTGAATTAGCTGATTACTTGCGCATGAAGGTTTCTCCTCAGTTAGGATAAAGATGAAGAGTTATTAATGCCAAATCTACCAAACAAAAATGTTCTCTTGTTGAAAAGTAATATCTCCAAGTTGAATATAGTGCAATGCATTATCACGTATTCTATTTTGGAGCTCTTTATTTTCCCTGTGTAACAACAAATTTAAATGTTTCATCGAGAACTCAAATCAGTGATAATTTTATCAATCATTTTATTCTTGCAAATAGTTTGATCTAAAAATAGTTTGATCTAAAACATATAGACACATATAGATGTGAGATGTAATTTTGATTAAGGCATTTGAAACTATATGAGATTTAAAATAAAATACTACTTTGATTCCAACTCGTTTATGTCTCCCAGCCAGTGGCACTCTAGACAATTACCAAGTTTGGCTTTGCCCACAAATGGTTGCCTTAGTTAGACGATCAGTTTTACTGCCTCCATTTTTATTTTGTTTAACAAATCACAAACCCTTCCACCAACACCATTCATTCCTGAACAGCTACCAAGGACCTGCTCCAGTAATTAGCCACTTGGGCAGCCTGCAGTGGAGTAGTATTAGTGTTGTGTTGTACTGCTGTCTTCTGACATGTCTCTGATGAGATGCAGCCCATTTCCACTGAAACAATAATAGCAATCTGATTTGGGATAAATGATGTCTTTGTCTATTGTCTACTGGAACAAAAAAAACATTGGCGGACACTTTCTCTCCCTCTCTCTCTCTCTCTCTAGAGCCCTGCCAAGCCTTAGTAAGACTTGCATGCACATAAACCCATGTGCATAATAGGGATGGGTCGATGTACATTCTCAGTTCTACAGAAGATGAAAAAAAACATTTATTACATATTTGATATGGCATGTGTGAAAGAAAAATCATGTCAGATGACATCTCCAAAAGACCAAATTATATCTGTGAAGAAGTGATTTATTTAGCTATGCAGAGCTCTTTTTAGGTTTCATATTCACGCAACGTTTAACACATACCTGGCTGTCAAGTTGTTTGGCAGCCAAGTTCACAGATGGATTTAAACAATCTAGACAGATTGGTTTACACACACACGCTGGTTTCAATCACTGCAAACCTGGCTTTTTTTGTGACTGCCTAAAGAGACATTTTGACACTGATCATTGTCAGTACTCTGATAAATAGTTTACTCCCTGACACAACACACACTCGTTCTATCCTTCACCCTTGACTGCATGTTTTTCTTGCTGTATCCTTTGGGATCAGCAAACCTTGATGTCACGTCATCTATCTTTGGGTGCTCACACAGGGATCTCTGAGCCCTTCACTCCTGTTGGAGGGAACAAACTAAATGTATGACTCCACTGAGGGTGGTCATCTGTCTTTAATCCAATCATGTACATTTTTAGGTTGGGTTTGGTCGTAAAGAGGAGCAGAGAGAAGGATGCATGATTTCTTTTAGACAATAACACATTTTCACCCCCCCAGAGGGAAGCAAAATAACAGCTTAAAAGCAAAGCAAAGCAAAGCAGCATCAAGCGTAATGCAAGTGTCTTTGCCAGTTTCAGTCCCACACAGTTGTTATTTTCCCATCCAGCTTGTTTAAATAGCAAAACCACCTGTGCTTGATCTTAAAATGAGGTGTGGTCGGGCACATTGTTGCTACACTGCCGAGGCCGTGGAAAGTGATTGTGCTTTTGACAAACATAACCTGGTCTGAAGTCAGGGGTGCGGTATGTCACTGTTATTTTGAGGACGCATTAGTAATAGGAGTCCACATAGATAGGTGCACATCACGCGTACACTCTGTTAAACACACAGATTGTCTGCAGACCTGGCAAGTCTGCCATTGTAATTGCAATCAACCAATGCATGACAATTTCATCTTCTATCACTACACCCGGCCTTCTATTGGTTTGGGAAATTTAGACAGACTTGTTGCACAAAACATCCAAGAGCAGAAGAAAACTTCTGCAGACCGAAGCAGCATGAGCGCGAGGAATAGAGCTAAAGCTGTCACCAGCAGAGCAAATCTAAGCACAAGCAGGAGCTATTTGAGTGAAAGAGCAGGGGTTTGAGAGAGATCATTACAAAATCTGAACATAAAATCAGGAGGTCTTGCTCTCAAACTGAAAGACCACACTCTTGAATTAAGGTAGGAATAAAACCCTGTCTTGCATCATGTGCATAAGAAGATGATGTGATCTGATCATTGAAATAAAGCCCAACAAGGGGGATGATGTATGTTCACCACCAGAGCAGTGATATTGTGATATCAAAGTTATTAAGCCTGAGAAACTGGAAGAGCAGCCAGTGGTAGAGATATGAGTTAAGTCCTTTTTCAGGAAAGCTTGGATTTCATTGATGTCAGCAACAAAGTGTTTGTGTGTGCAGCTTTATGTGTTTGTGTGTTTTGCGGGGACTGTGATAAAATGGCTGCTTAAAGGGTCCTGTTGGAGATAAGATGACCCATCAGTCCACCACCGGATGTGTGTGTGTGAGTTGAGTTGAGTTTTTATTTTACTGTGTCTCTGTAGAGCAGAAAAAGCACAGAGACAAAAGGGATTTGCTACCTACAAAGAGAGTTTGTAGTTTGAGAGCAGCCTAGTAGCACTGCACATGAATTTCTGAATTTTTTCCAAAGCACTCTTCAAAATAAAATTTGGGTCCTTTCCTCTAAAACAGCCACAGCTGTGCTTCTTCAGATGCACATATGAACTCACTTTAACTGTAACAGACAAAATCGCACATCATTTTCATTTCAGATTGTTTTTGAAAATCCTTGGAGTGAGGTGATGGTAATGGTAATTGGAGATGATGAGCCCCTAATATACAATTTTACAAACCTGAAGGACATTCAACAAAGCAGATTACCATGATTACAGTGACGTGCCAAACCATTTATCTGTGTCTGTCTCTTCTCTTCTTTCTCTCTATCTGTTCCTGTCTTCCCCAGCACAAACAGACGCCTCCAGTGAAAGGAGGCCCATCGGCAGAGAGCCTGGAGGTGACAGCGCGCACGAGAACCCTTCCAGGCCCCCCTCGGTGAAGGTGAGAGGGGGTTTGCCATCTGCCAGCTGGGCAGGATCCTGGAGCCTTGCACTGCTCTCTGCTGCACTTTGTCTGCAGTGGACCCTGTTCTGATGCTAGCACCGCCTGTGAATCTCCCTTCACCTTCTAGGAAACACGTACATGCAGACAGACATTCATATCGTATAAATCACATAGAGTATCCTTACTCCTGTCCTCAATCTGCACGGATGGAAAGTAACGAAGGAGAAAGAAAAGAAGATGGAAACGGAAAAGAGGAGGACAACATTGTAGATGGGGGGCTCCTGCAGGAACTTTACTGATCCCATGCACGGCCATCTACAAAGATTATGCCTGCTGCTTCCACTAGGCTGTTCTGGGATTAGATGTGTGTGTATAACAGACACCAATATAGCCCTGCAGCTCCTCGCTCCACTCACACTCAACACATACTCCATAGTTCAGAGCAGGATGTCATCATAATGATTTTACTTAAAAACACATTTCGACTCACGTTCATGCTTTCTACACAGAGCTGTCCTCATTGTCTGCTGCTGGATTTTACTTTCAGGCTCTAAAAAAAAAAAAAACCTCATCACAGCCCTTTGCCAGCCAGACTGAAGAATTCAGCTTATTTGAAAACTCAAACTTATTTTCTTTTTGAGGATTAAGGAATGCATGATAGATTGATAGATCAATCCCAGGTGCCTGGCCCAGAACAGCAGATTGGATATTATCTGACTGTGTACTTTGGCAGGGATTAGAATGTAATGAGTTCACAGATAGAGCACAGGCACACTTGCACGGTCGCAACACATTGCGCAGACAAAATAGGTGTGTATAGTATGTAACTGTATATAGATGGAAAGATTTGATGGGAGTGTGTGAGGTTCTGATTCTGCAAAAAAGCTCTTAACTGATTTAGCTGAATGGGTTTTTTCTTTTGTTTTCATCTTGCAATGAATGGACTGTGCTAGTCTGTCCATACTATGTAGAAAACAATGCAAAAAGACTATAGAGATTTCATATCTATAACAAATAAAGCAGGAATGTACATCATTTACCAACTCAACGTCATGACATGAAAGGACACATTTTGGTCCACACATTGTTGATTTTTATGATGTTTATCCTGCATCCAGTTTTGTGTGTTTGCTCGTTGAATTGCACATTAATGCATGTATAACCAGTTTCTCCAAATCTCTGATGGGATCAGGCCTTTCTCCAGAAAGCATAACAAAATATAACATTGTCTATATCACAATATATATTCATCAGGTTCTACCTTTCTTGCTCAAATTATTGTTTGGTATTTGAAAACAAGAGTAAGGTTGGGCAGCAGATTCAAATGCAACACATTAAAACATTACTTTTACATTATTGGGTGCATCTATTGTTTGGCGTAATTCAGTGGCAGCCATTGTATAAGTCCTTCAAGGTTTTTAACATATAATTTGTCCTGTTGTGGATTTCTTCTTGAATATCATTAAGAGAAAGGGCAGCATGGCTGTAGATCTGTCACCTATCAGTAAGGGGGTTCTGGGTTTGGCCCTCTGTTCTTAGCCCTTTCCACCAAAACAGCTCAAGGGTCGGTTCGGAACTAGTGCCTGTCTCAAACCAGTTCTTTGAGTTTTGACCATCAAAGAACTGTCTTTTGGCAACCCCCCCCCCAAAAAAAAACTGGTTCGACTGGCACCAACACTTTGCTTGACTACAAGAAAGAACCACTTACGTCAGAGACTGGGGTTGGGATTATTATACTTTTTTTAAAAACAGCTTGTGTCATGTGTAGCAAAGAGACACTGTAGTCTGTGCTAGTGACGTATAGAGTGACACTGGCATGTGGAAAAACAAAACAGGTTTGCAAGTTAAATTGTGGAGTTTTCCGGTGCATGTGAGGGTCTCCTCTGGGTACTGCAGCTTCCTCCTCCAGTTCAAAGAGATGTAGTTCAGGTTAATTGGCGACTAAAATGCGTAGGTAGTTGTGAATGTTAGCTTGAATGGTTGATTGTCTCTATCTGTTTGCTGAAATTAGTTAAAGGCCCCATTCGACCCTTGAGGGATAATTGTTAAAGGAACCCTAAACATGCCCAAATGCCTGCTGACCATTTCTTGAATCCCAACAGTAAGAACAAAGTATTATTTGTTTTAAACGATTTCTTGTGATGATGGAATAAAAGGGAATTTATTGGGGAAAAGAAACCAACCTGTGTGACTTCTACAATGGCTTTCTCTGTATACCAGGTTTGTTTCTTGTGTAGATGAGGATTTTCTATGCACAGATATGGTACAGCAGTGTGAGTGAGGATGATGAATGTATGGTCAATGCTATGCAGATGCAATATTAAAGCTGACTAAGCCCTACACAAATACAGTGTCTAAGCTACGGGCTACACACTTTAAGCTTGACATGGGTCTATGAGCAGTGATATACCTCTTCCATTAACTACACTTTATTCTAAACAACTTTTCCTGTCTCTACTAAGAAGTAATTCACCTTAAACTCTGCCTAACAGTGCAAAAAGGATGACCCGCTTAACCACACGCAAACATATACAAATGTTCATTAAATGCCTACGCTTAATGAAGAATGACGATAACTACTTCAACGTAAGGTCTCAGCAGTTTTAAAGTGTCACATTTCATGTTCTGTAACCACGATTGTTTAGTTCTTATAATTTCCTCCATGTTTGTTTTGTTCCAAACTGGTGTTCATTGCACCCACAGGTCACTTACAGCCCTATACCCACGCATGTGTATAAATGTACATATTTTAAGTCACTTACCATTTGTTTTGTGTCTCATTTACTCTCTATTGTTTCAGTATGATACAGTGTAGTTGGGCTCTATTAAAGGTGCTCTGCTTTTTTGTGCTCGTCTCAACAGCCTCTCCTTAAAGAGTAAATCAGCCACAATGGACACTGACAAACAACAGATTTTCTTGGGAATACGTGTTTGTTCAAGGCTCTACACACATGGCACACCCACACAAGCCTTTACACTCATTAGTCCTGAATAATCATCCTCTTAGGTCTGTGTGGGCCTGTGCAGACCATACTTGATTGACATTTCCCTCATTCTCCCATACTTTTGTTAATTATCTAACTCCCAGTTTAGCCTCAACCAACTTCCACCTGACTGCAAGTTGAATCAGCCATAACATGTAAACATGGGCGAGTAGGCACTGAAATTTTTGTATTTTGATATCACACATATTCCACGTCTTCAAAAATTAAGCTTTAACAATGAGATGGCCACACTTTGCATATCCACTGATGCTTAATGAGCAGTTTAAATTAGACATGACTAGGCTTGAGCAATTAGCTTAGCTAGGCATAAAGACTGGAAACATGGGAAAACATCTAGCCTGGAATCACTTCTAACACTAATCCCATTGTCTCATTTGAAATCTAAGACTCCTGGAAGTAGACAGCACCAGGCCAAGAAATAGGTAGAGCATGCAACTCCCTGTAAATAAGCTCCGGTCATTCTTAAAATTAAATTTGTGCATGAATTAAACCATGGGTTCCTAAACTTTTCAGCCCTAAACCCTTTAAAATAACAAATGAACCATTATCACAAGAGGTGGTTGGATATTGTTTTGAGCCAGTTCAGGAAAAAAATCACCTACATCCACATGTAGCAATGTTTCCTGTGGTGCTGTAAATTGACCTGCTGCAAATGGTGCTGTTGCTAATCTGTCATAATCACCTCATGTGGTCATGTGGGGACCAAACAAATCAACTGGTTTTTATCATTTTTTTTATTTTATCTGATTTTTGGCAGGCTTCACCCTTGCACTAATATGCAATCCCACTGGGGGACCCCTAGTTTGGGAACCACTGGATTAAACAATCAAGATATGTTCATTTGTGAGCTTTAGAGGTGATAATAGACATGTTTTTAAACCTGGGTGTGAGCCAGTCTAGCTGTTTCCTTGTGATTTCAGTCTTAATGCTAAGCCACATTAACTCTCTCTCCATAAGTGAGCATATTTCAAGTATCACTTCAAACCAAGAGGAATAAATAACACTTTCACACTTCACGACCTGCTTCCTGTCCCTAAAAAAAGTTACATTGAGCATACTTGTTGCTGGTCAGCATTAGAGGATGTCTGAGCTATGGCGTAGGCAGGGAGTGCTAATTCAGTCTGACCTTCCTTATTTGCATCCATTAAGACTCTTGCTAAACATATCTGTCTGTGTGTTTGCACCAGGAATAGAGGCCTGAGTGCAGAGGACGCGAATAGGTTCTGTGCTGGAGAGGACTGTGGCAGACAGTCGGTGGCGATGAAAGCGGCGTCGACGGTGACAGTTTGCTCACTCAGCTGACGTGCGGCTGACCCCTTTGGCTGCTCCTGTAGGGGAAACTTTGCCTGTTCATCAGCTATAATTGCCCTGAATTTGTCTGTGCTGTCAGCTGCAATGCAAAGCATCACTGCTTGACTTAGCACGCAGTGTTTTTACACATTATTTCAGATGCACGAGTCACAAAAACAGACAATGGGACCGGAGCAAAAATGTTTTGAAGTAATATTTAATGTCTATTTTTCCTCCGCAGTGATTATAAAAGCATTCAATGGCAGCGTATCAGGCGACAGTGGCCCTCCAAGTCTCACCACACCTCCCGCTGTTTTAACCATCAGCCTGGGAACACATTAACTAATAGAACTTTCCTGGCTAAAGCACACTTTGTCCACAAGCTCTTTCTCACTCTCTTATAAACACAAATCATCACAAAGGCACACGGATGATCTCACTGACACACCCTGTCCCATATTCGTGTATGTCCAATTGCACACAGGCTGACTATTTGCTCCTTGGAGTCGATTTCATGCGTGTCGCTGTGAAACTGAGCGTCTGGCTTTATGTGCAGATGAAAGCAGTGCAAGTGCCCGGTCCAAGGATACTGTGCCTGCGCTTTGCGTAAGCTGTAATTGGACTGCATTGTCCCTGCCTGGTAAAACCAAAGCTGTCTGTTGTCCCATAATAACCTCCACTGACTGACAGAAAAGCCATGCATGACTTTAAAATATGGACAATAATGGGAGCTAACCCAGACACTGAGAGAGAGTAATTAGTCCGACAAATCAACTGCTATTTCTTAGCCTCACAAAGACAGTTTAATGTCTTGAAAATTGGTGTGGATAATTCAGTGCGTTACACAGTGGGTACAGACGCATACACACGTTGCAAAGAGCAGTGTGGTCAGTGAGTGTAACTGAGAGATCGAGGGACCTGAGGTCACAGCTGCTCAGCTGTCTGTCTGGGCTATTTTAAATGGTAGCACACATCAGCGCTTCTGTCCGACTGGCTTGGCCAAGTCCACACTTACAAGTCCTCACACACACTGAAATCTCTTCTTGCCTTATAGTTAGGAGTGGATCTAACACTTATTAACACATTCAGAGGGGAAGCCCAGCTGCACCCCACAGCGTGGACAGGACCTTGAGATGCATAAGTGCATTTTCAAGCAGATGCCCCCTGAAGTTAGCCTGATAGTGCAGTAACAGAGTGAGATCAGTGGAGCACCCCCCACAGCAGAT